CTTCTTTGCGGGTGGCTGAGGCCAGAAAGACGTCCCGCCCCCTCCGTGCTCCCTTGCAGCCCAGCCAAGGCAAAGCTGGCGTCCTTCCGCCGTGCCAGATGCCAGGTTCCTGCAGATGGCAACCACCTTGTCGTTACTTAGCTCCCCTCTTTGTTCACCCTTGAACACACGCCGATTGCCCTCGTTAGCCCCAGGTCCCAAAGGCCACTATTGAGAAGAGTGAGCCCTGCAAGTGTATAAACTCCACCGGACAATAGGGAAACTGAGTCACGGGGGCAACAGCGTAGCTGGATCGGAGCAGGGGATTGAACCCAGATGCTCTGACACTAAGACGGGGGCTTTCTCCATACGATTGTTCATCCCTCTCTCCTCTCTAGCGCCCACGCCAGCCGGCACTGCCAACAGAGAACGGTGCGGCGCACACACCAATGCCCTCTCGGGCCAAACGCAGCCTGGGGCGTGGGGCTCCCCAGACCACATCCACCAGCAGTGTCGGCGTGGTCACCGGGGTGTGCTCCGACGGCCAGGCTGCGGCAGCTTTTCAGCACCGCCCGTCTCCCGTGCGCTGCCTGATGCTGTGACAAGAGGAGTGGAGACCGAGCATGGGTCACGGGCCAAAGGCCCCCCCAGGCACCCAGTGCTAATGCGCGTGCACACAACCTGCCCTCGGCGCGCCCGGCCAGTCAGTTGCAATCGTACGACAAGGAAGCTTGCTGAGCTAGGGCCGTCACGGCACTGTGGGGAAAGGAGTAGGGAGCGAATCCAGACGGGGAGACACACTGTGAACAGCAAAGCAAGCGGCCCCCCACTGCTATAGAGTCCACGCACACCCTCGCCCCCCTTCCTTGGCTTTCTATTCCTCCCAGGGACTGATTCATAAATCCTTCCACCGGATAGATCCAGCCAACCCCAGCAGCCTCATTGATCTCCCGTCTCTCGCCTCTTGCACTGGCCTCAGTTTCCCTGCTAGTGGTGCAAGAGCCTGCTCCTCTGCAGCATCTGCCCTCTGCAACTGCCTCCCCGAATCGCGCCGCTTCACTTCAAATTTCAGCAGAACGCACCCTTCTTCCCTCAGCCCGGGCCCCCAACTCCGTCACTGCTTTGCTGAGCCTCTTGGGACGGAGCCCATGCAATAGGCGGGAGACAAATAACGCTGCAGAAGCGAAGCGTCTCTCTTCCAGAAGACACAGAAAGGCGCGTGGTTTCCAGCTGCGGGTAGCACGCAGGACACGGGAGAAATGTTGGTCCCCGACTGCCCATCGAGACCCCCGTGGGATGACGTAACAAAGACTTGGCCTGCCAATAACCCCTTGTGGTTCTGATTTTCAGATGGTCCCTTTGAACGCCCCAGACTAACTGACCACGAGCCACTTCTATGGGTCCTTCTTCCCAAATTCACCTCCCGGTGAAAACCACCAAGCCGCTGTGCACCAGGACCAGGCACAAACGTGACTTATTTCCACGGGATCCGTGTGACCTTTGAAACGCTACGATCGTCCTCCCGACACCCAGGCAACGCGAGGGACGTCGGCGGAGTCGCTCTGGGCGAAGGCAGCTGGAACCGAGCAGAACGTGTCCCGAGACAGCCCTCGAGCTCCCCGACCCGGCCCCGGGAAGGGATGACGTGGCAGGTAACGGGGCACAGACCGCCCCCAGCAGGCACGCGCCTTGCCGATCCGTCCCCGGGGGAGCGGCGGGAGGAAGGAAAAGGAAAGGCTGGCCTACCTGGGGCTATTTCAAAGAGGTGTTTCCCTGGTTCCTCGGGGTGAGGGGTCACCTCGCTCACTTGATTGCCTTGCAGTGGAATGAAACCCTGTAATGGACACAGAAAGACCAGTGAAGGGGGAGGGGCCATAGCAGAGCAAGGTTTGGTAGGTTTAAACGCCTCTCTGCCGCCCGCTCCTGATCATCTCCCCTTTCCGCCCCATCCTTCCCCTTCCGGCCTCGCCCTCCCTCTCCGGGTCTGCTTGCCTGACACTTGCCTCCTCTCTCCTTTCCCACAATCTGGCCACTGTCGCCGCAAGAGCCTTCTCCTCTGCATGGACAGTTATTTCCTAGCGAGGAGGAGACACGCGCCACCCGAGGATCTCTGCCTCCGACATCAGTACTCCCTCTGCCTGGGAAACAGCCTCCCTAGACCTCCCTCCCTGTGGAGCCCACCTCTTATTAGCCTAGTCTGTAAAGGCCTGTGGCCCTTGATTTCCCCCTCATGCTGAGGGCGGTCAGAGCTGCATCGTTCACTCCCCGCTGGCTAGGGTTAAGTGCCTACTTCCATGGTTAGGTACCGAGTGAGCAGCTTGATTTTCAGAGGGGCCGTGCGGGAGCAGCAGAGGGAGGGTCTGAAGCAGATCAGCTGATCCAAACTCCCTTGGAGGGGTGTGAGCCCCGGCCCACATGCCATGCCCCCGGGCATGGGCAGTAAATGGAGGCAGTTTGCCAGGGTGAGCCCTCGTTTAATTACCTGCACCTCCACCGCTCTGGGCAATCGCAGCTCCCATTGGCCGTGGATCGCCGCCCTTCCTGGCCAATGGGAGCAGCGAGAAGCCATGTTCCGGTCCATGCCACTTCCCGCAGCTCCCATTGGCCGTGGATCGCCGCCCTTCCTGGCCAATGGGAGCAGCGAGAAGCCATGTTCCGGTCCATGCCACTTCCCGCAGCTCCCATTGGCCGTGGATCGCCGCCCTTCCTGGCCAATGGGAGCAGCGAGAAGCCATGTTCCGGTCCATGCCACTTCCCGCAGCTCCCATTGGCCGTGGATCGCCGCCCTTCCTGGCCAATGGGAGCAGCGAGAAGCCATGTTCCGGTCCATGCCACTTCCCGCAGCTCCCATTGGCCGTGGATCGCCGCCCTTCCTGGCCAATGGGAGCAGCGAGAAGCCATGTTCCGGTCCATGCCACTTCCCGCAGCTCCCATTGGCTGGGAATGGAGATCCACAGCCAATGGGTGGTAGCCTTCCAGGGGCTGACCCTGGCGGGCCGGAACCGGCCTGTGGGCCAGTATTTGCCCACCCCGCTCTAGTCCCAAAATCTCAGGCTACATCTGGAGAGAGGGCTGGTCTGCTCCATTTGCTTCCAGGCCCCAATGCCCCAGACTTTATGGCTGCTTGGGGGCGGGGCGCAGATGTGTCAGAAAGGGATGCCCTAGCCATCCGTCATCTCCCGGGGTGCACAGCTGGACCTCCCATCACCACGGAGAGGAAAGTCCCCCTCCGACTGTGGGCCAGCCGAGAACGCAGCTCTTCCCTTCGAAGTCCTGCCCCGTGAGACCCAAGGGACCTGGCTAAAAAAGTTCCCTGTGCGGGTTGACCAATCTTTCTCCGCAACACCCACCTTCCAAACCACAATGCTGAGCAGCGCAGTATTCACGCTGCAGCTGTCATTTACGTTCAGGCCCGCCCTTGTGACTGGCTTTCAAATCGTTTTAACGATAGACAAACCCTAAGGACAATGTAGCGCGTGGCATACAGAACGCTGGTAATCCAGAACAATCCCCCCTTAGATTCGCCATCGGCTTCCAAGTTTGTGTTAGTCCAGGAACACAATTCTGGTATTTGATGGGGAGGAGAGAACCCAGAATTTCCATTCAAGGAATAAAACCTGCCACGTGCCCTTTGCATTCTTCCTTGGGTAGTCGGGAAGCCAGTAAATTATTTTTTTCCCCCATTGATGTTATTGCATATTTCTTCCCTCTAGCACTGCCTCTTGCAATGTCTTCTTCTGCAGAGTTGTTTTCTTTGGAGAAATGACTGTAATAAGCCAAGGAGCCAGCTGGTATTCAACGGAAACGAATTAAGCTGTTCCTCGTTTCTTTGCGTGTACAATGTTGAAATGACCAGACATAAATTACCAAAGCACCAATTCTGGAGCTGGAAAACGTGGTCGGACGGTAAATAAGCGCAGATCCACCGAGCCTCAGAAGCAAAGCGTTGAGACTCGCGTCCGTACACCCCACTGCATTCCAATTACTTGCTGCTCTGAACGAGGAGTCTTTCGCTATGGCTGGGGCCATGGGGCAGCCCCCAAAGCTTAGTAGGGGCCGGAGAGTTCCTCCAAATGAAGCGGGGAGGGAATTTACACGCTGCTCAGAGTTCCTGTGACGACTCAGCTTGGGAAAGGACAACAACAAATGCTAAAAAAAAATACACCCCCCCCCCCCCAGGCGCCCGCACCAGTGAGGTTAACAATCACAAAAAGTCAGGCTGTGCCAACTTAGTTTCGAATGACCAAATTACCGTGGCTGCTCCACACATCAAACCTCGCTCTTACGTGGTGCTTTTTCACCCGTCTGACTCAAAGGAATGTCATGATGTCCGTGTTCACAGGGGGGGAAACTGAGGCATAGAGTGACAAAGTGACTTGCCTAACCTCCCCCAGAAAAAAAAAACCCCCCCCCCCCCCCAATGTCGCTGCACCAGTGAGGTTAACAATCACAAAAAGTCAGGCTGTGCCAACTTAGTTTCGAATGACCAAATTACCGTGGCTGCTCCACACATCAAACCTCGCTCTTACGTGGTGCTTTTTCACCCGTCTGACTCAAAGGAATGTCATGATGTCCGTGTTCACAGGGGGGGAAACTGAGGCATAGAGTGACAAAGTGACTTGCCTAACCTCCCCCAGCTGGCCAGTATCAGAGCCAAGCACTGATTCCAGATCTTTGGAGTGCCAGTTGCCTATCCACTAGGCCACACTGCCTCATCTGTCCTGGATATTTAATGGCACACGCGAATGTTGTTTGTTTGCAGAGAGGTAGGGCAAGACTGGACCAGAAGACGAGGAAGTGAATAATATTTCCCAGGCTGCTGAGGGGTTCGGCTGCGTCCTTCACTTTGGCAATCCCTGCCTTTTTGTTATTTAAACTGTGCAGTCTTCATGCATCCATGTCATTTTCTCAATTACATTTCCTGACATTCTCAAAGAACTCTCGTCTCCTCCCCCCTCCCCCCCGGGCTTAATACCGTTCTTTTAAAAAATTGCTAAATTCTTTATGATAAAATTGAGGTGGCTCTGAAAAATGGGCACCTGAAAGAGGCAGGATGGGGCAGCATGGCAGACAGCTGACTGCTGTCTTCATGCATCCATGTCATTTTCTCAATTACATTTCCTGACATTCTCAAAGAACTCTCGTCTCCTCCCCCCTCCCCCCCGGGCTTAATACCGTTCTTTTAAAAAATTGCTAAATTCTTTATGATAAAATTGAGGTGGCTCTGAAAAATGGGCACCTGAAAGAGGCAGGATGGGGCAGCATGGCAGACAGCTGACTGCTGGCTCACGGAGCAGGCGATCACACTGCGACGGCTGGGGAGGGACGCCGATCACATGACGCCTCCCTGCACCACCCCCCCCC